AGGGGCATAAAATGGGTCAATAGTTGAATTTTGTGATTCGGCCGTGCCATATTCACCTGTATCCGGGTGCCATCGCTAAAAAGAGGAGCATTTTGACCTGACTTTATGATGTGACCAGGTGTCAACAATTCCAGACACGATACGAAATTCATAAGCTGTGCCAAGTTTTGCGTCGCTGTGCGCCGCAGTTTCCGTTACAGACACACAAACATTGGCTAGTGTGGCCAAACACCCCCTCCCCCCACCCCACCCGGGAGAAAATAAACGATATAAATTGCTATAACTAATCTCACTGAGCTAAATGCGATCGTGAACACTTACAAGCATATATTCGAGTCGACACAGAAAGACCAGCGATTCGCAGCAGGCCCCCTATAGCCACAGATATGTGACTGTGAGCGATAAGGCAACCAGCGCGGCGCGTCCCTGACCCGGTCAAACGCGTCTGTAGCGAGTGTGAGGCCAGAGAGATATACTGTGCCGCTGAGCCTGGGTGTGAGGCGGCGCAGTCTACCGTTGAGGCCAGAGGGATGTGCTGTGCCGCTGAACCTGGGTGTGAGACGGCGCAGTCTACCGCTCCAGTCAAACGCTGGGCCGTCGGGGGGCGAACATCACTTAGTAGGTGAGTGTACAATGTACATATATCATGGTGCACAATGAGGACACTGTTTTAACCTCGTCGCCGTCTTATGGTCCGATGGAATGGAAGCACAGTATATTTTACGATTTTTAACCCTCGCCCGCACATGGGGGGGGGGGGGGGTGGTTGCCACCCCCCAAGGCAGTCTTTCTGCTCTGCACTCAACATTTTTAGAGTTAGAAGGCTGATTTTTCGTATAGCTGCTCCTCTATCCATCCTTGATGTCAACTGAAAATTTCAAGTTTCTGTGATTTCTGGTTTCGGAGATATGACCTTGTTTTTTTCAGGTCATGTCATGACCCAAATGGCCAATTCTCAACATCTTGCGTTTGCCATGGGCCTTGTGAGCTTTTGACACCTTGATTTCGGCCTTTTTTGCCAGTCTTACCTCCCACCTATCATGGAACATGCTGTTCGACGATGTACAGGTGTCAAGGTCAGGGTCAAGGTCAACCTAGGTCATCTAAGATAATTGCGTTTAAGGTAAGCTGAATTTACTTTTTGTGAAGTTTTTTGACTTCATTTTTGGTAAAAGCTTCTCAGATCATGATTTCATGTAATATGGACACAAAAACAATCGGTGCACACATCAGTATACACACAGACACACACAGACATACAAACACATATAATTGACCTTGACCTAACTTGACCTGAAATGACCTCAGCAGCAAAAATCTGGTCGGGTAGTGTGACAAAGAGGTTCTAGGTGGCTTGGCACCAGAAAACAGCATCGTCATCGGTATATGATAAGCAGCGCACTTGATATCCAACGGTGACCCAAAACAGCAACATTTTTTAGTTTGACCTAACCTGGAAGGTCAATGACTGACCTGAGAAGGTAAAACTGGGTATCATTGGATTTTTCTCTTCCCAAAGAATCTTTTTGGTCTTTACCGCTAAGCTCTATCTCCATCAGGAACGAAATGGCGCGGGGGGGGTGGCAACCACCCCCCCCCCCCCATGTGCGTTCTAGGATGGGAAAATGGCATGTGCGGGCGAGGGTTAAAGCCGTAATCGCCACGCCATATGTGGAAAGCTTTTGGTGCCAATACATACATACATACATACACAGTCCCTACACGGTGGTAGTCTGATTGTCGTACTCACGCGGCCGTTCCATAGTACTTCAATGAGCAGGCCTGGCCAAAGGGAAGCTAAGCCTATATAGTTAGCAGGACAGGACGGCCGGGAAGTGAGCCGACCGCTGACGCAGCATGGTCCGATCTGACATAGGGAAGAGTGGGGCAAAGCGGCCACCCGGAGCAAAGCGGCCACCCTTCGTCTTAGCCCTGCACAACTGGCGTCAGCTCCAGTTTATGGTTGCCAATTATACTTCTCTTTGCGTTTGCTCGAATGAGCCAGATCGGGGGCTCCGACCCGTCGCCATTTTTCCGGGACAGATGGAATGACATATATATTGTCCCAGCTCATTCTTATCATCCCACTATTTTTACGATTTTGAAATGCTTCTTTAAGTGTTTGCATTCCATCATTGAGTAGTTATCGTACATGTTCCATGCCCAGTAGCGGCGGAACACTTTCAATTAGGGGGACACTGCCGACTTTTGGTCCCATTCTTTCCATGCAACGCCCATAGGGCTAATGTTAAAATACCAAAATCAAATGGGGACGCGGTGCCCCGGTGCCCTCCCCGTTCCGCCGCCTATGTCCATGCCAATTGCGTTTGCCCCACTAATAACAGAGCGGAAAGATTGTTTGATCTCGGATGGTAAGCACGGGGCAAAGTTGACTGGCCAGAGTGGACAGCTCTCAAAACCAAAAGTTGTTTCAACTTGGACAAAACGTTATTCTTATCAATATTGAAAAACATCGTTATGCGTTCATCTCGGCCACTTTTCGGTTACATGAGTTACCCAAATAATGCATTTCGTTGTCTTTCCATGAATGTCCTTGCATGGTTTACCCACAGGTGAACGATGACGAAATAAGCATCCATCCTTTTTTAAACTTTTTTACCATTAAAACATTATTACTACAGAAGTAACTAACCTGTGTCTCATTTTGGGGCAAGGAAGTCACTGGTGGTCGTTTTTTCCCCGGGGTCCGGGGCAAAGTGGCCAAAATGCATAGGTAGGTTTAAAACTTTGCCAATATCTTATCTCCTATATGTGAATGCCTTTGGAAATGGCACGAAGTTGAAATAAAAGACAATTTTAATAGGGATCATATTTTTATGGAAAGAGACTTTCCAAGTTTAAAAATCAAGTGTCGGCACTCGGCATCGTGAGCAGCGTTAAGGTGGCCGCTTTGCCTTGGTCTCCCCCATCATCTCGGTGACTCCGGGCGGACCGCCGGCAGTGAGCGACTGGGTAATTGACGTCACTGGGACATGCATCGCATATAGATCGAACGCGGGCCCACATATTGCTAAGTCATTGAAAATCACTTTTATAATGCATACATGTATAAATGATATTTTCGGCTATTGCCATAAGGCATCGCTGGCAGCCTCGCCGAGGGCGGTCTGAAGGCTGAACATCTGTTGTATATCTGGTTAGAACTGACGCTTCCGACCAAGGACGGGCGGGGCTGGCCGGCCCGGACTGTTCCGCTCGCTCGTCACCGTGTTCCGCCCGCTCGGCGCCATGTTCCGCCCGCTCGGCTGCAGTGTTGCTCGTCGCCGTGTTCCGCGCCGCGCCGGACCCGATCGGAACCGGCTGGCGTGCCGGCCGCTCCCAATCGGGCCTGATGGGCGCCTTCCGGGCCGAGCGGCCGCCGGTGGGCCGCAGTTATTCAATCCCGCGCCGGCCGCCGCCGGCCGGAGCACCGCAGCCGGATGGAGCGGGATTGTTCTGGAGAGCGACGGTCTCCCTGCGACTGACTCACCCAGCGGGACACTCAGCTGGAATCGAACGGAACTCACCCATCGGAATCTGAAAGCTGCAGATAATCATTGTTACCAGCTCGGGAATATGAATTTAACCTACTCGTTAACCTTCCAGGCGGTGGGGGGGGGGGGCATTTTTTTGCCCCCCCCCTTTAGTTTTTTCGATATATCTCGAGAACCGCTGCGCCGATCGTCACCAAACTTTCAGTACCCTCCCGGGAGCAGCTAGCGCACATGGTGACCAAAAATTTTTCCAAAGGCTATGATAGGTTGGCCGCTAATGACGTCAGATTGACGTCATTTTTGCCATTTTCGACCAAAAAAAGGTTTCGCGGGAAGAGCTATCAGGCCTACAGCTTTAGAGATACAGAAAAATGTTTCAAACATAAAAGGTGTGGAATTAAGAGGGCTACAAAACTGCTATTTCGGTTTTTCGACTTTTTTGGATTTTGACCCCCAAAAATAAAAAATAGATTTTTTGAATATAATAGCCTAAAAATCCAAAAAGTTTTTTGAATTTCGAAAAAAAACCGGAATATATGTGATAGCCCCTACCGCCTTCTATCTACATCTCAAATTTGAAATCGATACCTCTTTTTTTGGCCAAGTTATAGCGAAAAAAACTGTTCAAAATTGATGACGTCAAATTTTCAAACTCTATTTTTAGCAATTCTAGACCTCGTAGCGCAAAACAAAGACCACCATTAGACTCCCCGTGACGAGCTGCATCGAATCGATACCCATTTTATGCAAAAATATCAACTTTGAAATTTGACTTTTTTGACCTGCCCTTGACCTGACCTCCACCAGAAAGTGACCTAAACCGTACCTGATGGTCTTATAACCAACACCATTGAGTTGGAAATGAAAAACTGGCCATAAAACATGCATCGCATAACCTTAGTAAAGTTGGGCTCATGTGGTGACCCTTGGTGACCTTTGGTGACCTGACCTGTGACCTGACCTGGTATGACCAGTGACCTCTAATAGCAACATATGTACTAGACAACTGACGCCTTATCGCTGATTTTCGACAAAATGCGTTTTACTCTTTGTTATAGCGCTTTCCCTAGAAGCCCCGTGAACGGTGAAACATTTTATCTTTGACCTGACCTGTGACGTCATCGGTGACCCCGAGGTCAATGAAATTTGGGTTCCCTCGACAAATTTGACAGGGCTATCGAACGCCGTTTGAATTTTCCGGATCCGTCCAGTAGTTTCGGAGATACGGGGGGGGGGCAAAAAAGTGCCCCCCCCCCCCCCCACCGCGCGGAAGGTGGCTGGTAGGCCCACCGCCTGCCGGGTTAACTCGAAAGTGCACGCACTGCTCGCTTATACGTAACATGCCTGACTTATAAAGTCGTTCTGCCCGGATTCATACAGGAAACCAGGATTCCAGACTTAGCTTTGCGAGTCCGGGGAATGTATGTGACCCTCTGTTGACTGAGAATGTTGCCCCAGTGCATGTGCTGCCCCTCTGTTGACTGACGTCTGGCCACTGTTCTGCAGGCGTCGGTCTCGGTCTCGCCTACATCCCGGCCGTGGTGATCGTCAGCGAGTATTTCGAGCAGCGGCGCACCATCGCGCTCGGCCTGGCCGTCTCGGGCGTCGGCCTCGGCGGCTTCGTCTTCCCGCCCGTCATCAGGTGAGCGTCATCAGCCGCTGGGCGTCATCAGTTGAGCGTCATCAGGTGAACTCGATCAGTCGAGCACCGACTGCCATTCTTTGTACGGTACTGTTCAGAAGCGAAACAATTCACTTAACGTCGCACCTACAGTTTTGATACACGAAATGCGCCCAGTCCAGGTAAGAGCGCACTTATACATGCAAGGTCCAGCAACTTTAAAATCGCTCGAATTCGGGCCAATGTTAATCAATCATACCTCATGACTATGAACGGTCAAGATGGTAAACCATCGCATAGGCCCTAAACTTACCTACGTGACCTGAAGCAGATATACCTAGGGATCTATCGGATTCTTTTGTTTAGACAGCTGAACAGATCGACTTTCAATTAGACCACAGCAAACGAAGAACTCTTCTCCAGGTATATTGGAATGGAATAAGAGCCTCCCTCGACTCTGTCAATGCACGCTGAGCCCGATGTAACTGCGTCGTTGCGATGTTGCTGCAATGTGGGTCGGCGTGCCCGCCGGCCCGGCGGTCAGGCCGGGCCGGGCCGGGCTGCTTTCTGATCAGTGGCCGGACAACCAGGCCACAGTACACCGGTGACCTGGGACGCCCCACCCGTGCCCTGCGCGGCGGCCAGCGCGCCGGTAAACAGCGCGTGCTCGACTGACCTATGGAGCCTCGGCCAGGAGTCGGCCCCGACCACCGTCACAGCCCAGCGTCTGATCGACGACCTGTGTTTACAGACGGACCAGTAGGGCGCCGCCAATCGAACCCCGTGACATTGCAGGCCAGCAATGCATTTAACAATACCTATTTAAATTTATGGCAGATGCCAGATGGGCTTAGATTTAAGAAGCAGATGTTATGACTTATGAGCGAAAATCAAACCGACGCATATGTAAAACTGTTATTGACGGTTACCGATAGCGTTAGTGTGGACCCGTCTGTTCCCCACACAGCGATGTCCGCCACGCTGTCCGCCACGTTCCGCAGGGCGCTGATGGAGGTGCACTCGTGGAGGGTGGTGCTGCTGATCATCGCCAGCATCGTCTTCAGCTGCCTGACCGTCTGCGGCGCGCTGATGAGGCCGCACGGACCGCCCGACCGGACCACCGGTGAGGCGGTGCCGCGCGCTCATAAGAATTCATACACGCGAACATGTTATACATTTACTACCGAGACGGTGCTTATTTATTAATTTTTTTTTGAGTTTTTATGTATCTCGTCCCTTCATTTATCGTCGATAGAGCAACGGCCTAACGTAATCTGGCATGTACCAGCAGGTTACCTCACGCACCTGACCTGACCTGACCGGTTACAGTGTGCTTCCTTTCAGTCCTAATATGTATGTATTATCTGACCTAGCCTGACCTGACCCGTCTCAATAGGCTTCCACCACTACCATAGTTTAACCTGACCTGATTTGTCACAGTCGACAATCGGTCTGGACTGACATGACCTGACCTATGACAGTCCAGTCGGCTATCTCACTGGCATGACCTAACCTGACCTGACCGGACCCGTCCCATGGGCTCATCCTCAGACCTGACCTGTCACAGTAACTATTTGACCTGATCTGTCACAGGTGGATATCAGTCTGCTCTGACCTGACCTGTCACACTAGGCTACCTGTCAGCGCTAGCATGGTTTGGCCTGACCTGACATGTCACAGTCGACTAGCGATCTGACCTGACCTGACATGTCACAGTCAACTAGTGATCCGACCTGAGCTGACCTGTCAAAGTCGGTCATAGGTGGCTGATCTAACCTGACCCAGCCTGTCGCAGTTGGCTATCAGTCTGACCTGACCTGACCTGTCGCAGTCGGATGCGTGTATGACCTGACCTGACCTGAGCTGACCTGTCGCAGTTGGCTACCTGGCCGAGCTCCGGGAGAATATCGGCATCATGAAGTCTGTGCCGTTTGTAACGCTCTGCTTCAACAACCTGCTCTACTGTTTCGGCCTGGTGATAGTGTACGTGCACCTGGGCGGGCTGGCGCTCTCCTCGGGCCTCTTCAGCAAGGCCAACTCGGGACTCATCTTCTCCATCGTCGGCGTGTCCAACCTGGTGAGCCTGCTGTCGTCCCGGAGGAGGCGGGTCCCTCTCTCCCAGTCGGGTGTGCGGGTACGGCCCGGTCCCTTCTCGCCCTCACTGGGTGCTGGGATAGACCTATGGACGGTCCTTTCTCTATTGCTCTCACTGGGAACTGACCGGACCTGTCTCGCCCTCACTGGGTACACACCGGACCTGTCTCGCCCTCACTGGGTACACACCGGTCACCGGTCCTTTCTGACTACTCACTGACTGGTGACCGATCCGTTGTCGCCCTCACTGGGCAATGACCCCCCCCCCCCCGCTCAGTACTTGGGACGGACACAGTCGTTATGGTGGGCTGGCGTACCGGACAGCGCTGACCGGTCCTCTGCTGTTCTCAGGTGGGCCGGGTCCTGCACGGCGTGGTGTGCCACTTCCCCCGGATGACCACCATCCTGGTGTACATGATCTCCAGCGTGGGCTCCGGCCTGGCCACCGTCCTGATGCCCATCTCCAGCAGCGTCACAGGTCAGTCCGCCCAGCAGTCGGCGGCCACTGGCCATCAGATCCGCGCCAAGCAGCGTCACAGGTCAGTCCGCCCTGCAGTCGCCGCGGCCACTGGCCATCGGATCCGCGCCACAGACGGCTGAGCGCAACGCTGGGCACCGCACATCGACCAGGCTGCCAGTACATACCACAAATTTGTTGAAAGTAACAGGTATGCTGTGTGTGACGTTCCATGTAAACTCGGCAGCCGCCCATCACCCCGTTATTATCCCGTACGTCGGCCGCGCTCAGTCCACGGCCCCTCACGCGGTGCCGCCCCTGTCCCCAGCGCTGGCCGTGTGCGCCTGCGTGTTCGGCTTCTGCAGCTCGTGTCTGGGCGCGCTGCTGCCGGACATCATCATCCGTCTGGTGGGCGACCATCGGCTGGGCACCGGCTACGGCCTGCTGCTGCTCTTCGAGGGCGCCGGCTCCATGCTCGGAGGACCCGTGGCCGGTAGGGCAGTGTGTGGGGGAGGACCCGTGTCCGCGGTAGGACAGTGTAGCGGGGGGGGGGGGGCGGTAGGGGGCAGAGTGGGGGGGGCGGTAGGTGCTACAAGGGTCACAACTCACAGTGGTTAGTATATTTAGGTAGTACCTATATTGCTGTGTGCTGTTCGTTCCCAGGTGCTGGTGTACTGGGGATCGGGGAATGCAATTGTGCACTAGCACGTTGCAACGCACGTTTAATGGGTATCATTCAGACAGCTGTTAGGATCGGCTGCTGGGGAGACCTCTGACCCCTCGGCCCGCGCTCGCCGCCAGGGATGCTGTTTGACTACATGCTGGTGTACGACTACAGCTTCTACCTGTCCGGGGCGCTGCTGCTGGCCGCCGGACTGGTCATGGTGGTGCCCTGGCGGTACACGCACTCTTGGCGGCGCGCCGAGAGCCTGTACCGGCCGGCGGGCAGCGCCGACACCGACAGTCCCCAGCGACGGGCGCGCCGAAAGGACGCCGAGGCCGGCCGACAGGGTCCCTCCGCGGACCCCTCCACCAGCCGACACGGCCCCTCGGCGGGCCCCTCCACCAGCCGAGAGGGCCCCTCCCACTGTCAGCCGTCAGAGCACGCAGAGGCAGATCAGGGTGTGTAATGGCCGGTACAGCTGACCGCGGACACGGGGAGGGGCGGAGGGCGCCCTCTGCCGGGCCGCCCGTTCCAGTCTGGGCAGGTTCAGTGTGAAAGGAACGCCGCCAGCGCCATTCGCGGCCGGTCGCTGACCACTGGACGGTGGATAAAGAGGGGAGGAGTTGTGTCGCTGTCCCGGCCGGACTGGCCTTTGGCGGTCCACGGCACAGGGGACCCAGTCGGCCCGGTCGCGGCCCACTGATAGCCCACCAGTGTCGGTCCTCCGTGCCAGTAGCTGCCGTCACGGGAGGGGACACAGGCGTCCGGCTACTCAGTGCCTGTTGTGCACAGCTCACGGTGTAGTGTGCACGGCTCACGGTGTTTTGTGCCCAGCTCACGGTGTAGTGTGCCCAGCTCACGGTGTTTTGTGCCCAGCTCACGGTGTAGTGTGCCCAGCTCACGGTGTTTTGTGCCCAGCTCACGGTGAAGTGTGCACGGCTCATGGTGTAGTGTGCACGGCTCATGGTGCACAGCTCACAGTGCCCGAATCTCAGCGGCTCACGTAATCTGTGTGTAGCGAGGCCAGCAGTCGGGAACTGAGAGTGGCGGCGGCGCGACTATCGCAGTGCCTTGGCGAGGGAAGCGCTCGATGGCCCAGCTCACGCCTGCGTTATCAATATCGCCTCACATCGACAGCGTAGAGCCGAGTGTGTATAGGCACTGCATAGTGTATGCGTACATGTTACCGGAGAAGTGAGCGGTATAATGCGTGTGAGACGACTACCGTAATGAGAGCCGCTACCGTTTGATATTATTATGCTGGCCGTGATGCGTCCTAATGGTTCTAGTTGACAGTCCGTATTTTTGTAAAATGTATGACTGGGAGGTTCATGCTGGCTGATACGGCCGCACTCGGTCCAATAACGCGGCTTCTGTTCGGAAGTGTCGCAGCAGCCCGGCTCCGCCGACTTTCCCGCCACTGGTATGTCCGTCTGTGTGTGGTGTGTGTGAACGTCTGGTCTGAGACCGGTGGTGCTGACATGTAATGCTCGAGTACGACCTGTCCTGGTTCAACAGAGCTCGGCGACGTACAGCACACGCACGTCCAAAGCTAACAGTGAAATAAGACGGTAGGTCCCCAAGCCCTTCATTGACGAAACTGTGAGTTATGAGCACCTACTTCACATAGCGCACGCACAGTATGGCTGCTCCCTCCCCAGTTCGTCGGATCGCTCCTCTGTGAGGTTTGAGCCGCGCCCGTGAACCCGCAGCGGGATGGGACGGCAGTCCCTCCCCCTCCTACTCAGTGATGGACCTCCGGGAGGTTAGTAGCGCGCGTCCATGACCACGGTAACTAGCCAGGTCTCGCTTTCAGCTCATTCCCAGATAACAAGGGCCTCTGTGACGTGAAAAGCACGTTCGAGGCCAACATAGGAATGAAACAGAATGAAACATCTCTCTCTCTCTCTCTCTCTCTCTCTCTCTCTCTCTTTCTCTCTCTCTCTCTCTCTCTCTCTCTCTCTCTCTCTCTCTCTCTCTCTCTCTCTCTCTCTCTCTCTCTCTTCTTGCCTAGCCGCTCCCCAGCCCCCCGCCCGTCCAGTCTGGCGGTCCTCTGCTATAGCAGCTGCTCTGATGAAGCTACTGCTGGCTCCCCGGTCCGCCACACATCGCTGTTCGCGTAAAGCAGTGCCGTGGATCTGTGTAATGTCCGAGCCCATCCGATGTCCCCAGTCCAGCCGAGCTGGAACCGAGCAGAGCATGTCTGTGACGGTGTGGCTCGAGCTGCGGACCTTCCCGACTGGGCCCGGGAGCTGCGGACCTTACCGGCTGACCCGGACGCCGTATCATGTCACGTGTGTGCGTCGCGGAATCTGCTGACGCCGGCAGACTCGTGAGTGAGCGCTCACAGCAGTGAGGACGGGCCGAAAATAAATATTAACCAGCACGTCTCGTACGATCCCCACCGTGTGGACTAGCCTGGGTGAGATGCGTCGCGGCGGAGACTCCAGCTACCACAAACAAACGGCACAGAGCGGCGGCCGTAGCCCGTTCGACAGCCAGAGTTTCGCCAGTTTTTTCCGCCAGTGAACGCCGCGGACCGCGCCTCCTGGCACCCGTCCGGCCACTGCAAACCGAGCCGCCGCGTCTGTCCCCGAGAGTACAGCACGCCCACACACGGCGCCAGGCATCAGATAGAGCTATATTCAGGAGGCTGCGGCAATAAACACGGTAATTACAGATCACAGTCGGCGGGTGGGCGGTCCACCCAGCGCAGTGGGTCGCCACGGGGCCAGCCGGGGTGCTCGGCGCAGCGGGTAGCCACAGAGTCGCGACCCAGCCCTGGGAATTTGTGTGGCCGGACGGCTCGCCCCCAGGGCCAGTGGTGGCAGTGGTACTGACAGGCCCCGCGGTGGAACTGGCAGCACCCGTGGCCAGCACCACACATCAGTAACGCCGGCAGATACCGGCAGATACACGGTAAGATATCAGTCAGCAGTCAGCAGACACGGTCAGCAGATACTGCTAGATAAGGGTCGACTGGTAGTGGTCAGAATATCCTCAGCACTAGCAGACATATCCCAGCAGACATATCCCAGCAGACACCCAACAGACATACCCTAGCAGCGACACCCAGCAGACATGCCCCAGCAGAATCACCCAGCAGACACATCCCAGCAGCATACATATCCCAGCAGACATACCCCAGCAGCAGACATATCCCAGCACAGACATATCCCAGTAGACATATCCCAGCAGCGACACCCAGCCGACATACCCAGCAGACACCCGACAGGCATATCCCAGCGGCAGACACCCAGCAGACATGCCCCAGCAGCCGACATATCCCAGCAGCAGACATATCCCAGCAGCATACATATCCCAGCACAGACATATCCCAGCAGCAGACATATCCCAGCAGCAGACACCAGTCGGTGGTCGGGCAGCTACAAGCGGGGGGTGGCCCACCTGTCAGCCGCTAAGCCCTGGGTGGACACCACAGACTCGGTCCCGGCGTATTGGGCCCCGTCCCGTCAGTGGCTAAACCCCGGGAGGGCAGCGGAGACTCGGTCTCGGCGTATTGGGCCCCGTCCCGTCAGTGACTAAACCCCGGACGGGCAGTAGAGACTCGGCCCTGTCTGTGGCTGAGCTCCGGGCGGGCAATAGACGTCCTCCAGAGTGCTCAGACCCGCCCCGTCCCTGGCACAGTCCCCAGTAACAATATCCCACAGAGTACTACAGCGAGTCCCCTTTCACAGTAGCAGCGGCGTCGAGCCGTCTCACAACTGGATGTTCTGCGTGAAGTCGTACTCGATGGTCGGAATGATTGCCTGCATGAACTTGAGGAAGACGATGAGGTACTTCTGGACGGGAATTTGACGTCCGCCCTCCTCGGCCGTCTCCACCAGCTTTTTCATGGTGTCAGCGTGCCTGGCGGACACACATCGCGCCAGTCATCTGACAGTCATAAAGCAACCATCGCTGGTTCGGGCGACCACAGACTGTTACAGGAACTCACCAAACACTCAGTGACAACAGCGTCCACTCTTTAGATGACCAGTAACACTACCAGAAACCAGCAAACACCAACTGCAGAGAGTAGAGTAGATACTCTCGTATGTAAATATACGACTGAACTACGGCATCCGTCGCGCTGCTGTTCTTCCACCCACGCTGCCATACGGCCGAGCGCGCGCCAAGACGGACCCACTGCGGCCGCTGCGGCCCGCGATGTGTGACTCACTTGCACGGGTGGATGGAGGCCTGCGGCGGTCCGGCCAGGTGTGGGTGCGTCTCCATCGTAATTGTCTTGTTGGCGTGGTCCTGACTGAAGTCCTCGTACATCTGGTCCACCGACAGCGGCTGGCGGCTCTGCAACCCGCCCCCGCCCCGGTCAGACGCAGCACGACAGCGGTCTCATCCTACGCCGCTTGCGGCCCGTAAAAGGGACCTCCCGCCTTCAAAAAAGTTTATGAATTGACATAAAAATGATGTACCGTGGTTCAGAAAGAGCGAAACTGAATATCTACCAAATTTGACCGACACATATTTACCTTTTTAGACATAGGACACATATTTGTCTTTTATCAATAATCAAGGTTTTAGTATAAGATTGAAAAATTTAAATGTTGGTGACCTTAAGCCCTAGTGTTAAGACGAAGAAACCAGACTGACCTCCAGAAGATGTTGAAGACGATGCTGTAGTCGACGATGATGAGAAGAAGACTACGAAGAGAAGTTGTGTTTTGTGCACAACTTCTCTTCGTCGTCTTCTTCTCATCATCGTCGACTACAGCATCGTCTTCAACATCTTCTGGAGGTCAGTCTGGTTTCTTCGTCTTTACACTAGGGCTTAAGGTCACCAACATTTAAATATTCAAGTAGAAACAATGCCCTACATCCAAGAAGCGTTCCGACAATTAAATAAGATTGAAAAACTGCTATATCTGCGTTGACGTCACAAAGTCTAGGCGGGCATTTAGATGGCCCTTAGAATATGAAAAGTGCGGACTTCGAAATTAAATAGTTCCGATTTAATGCCTTTCTCGATAATGTCGAGTGCCCAAACCGGAAATTGCAAGCCAGGAACTCTAATTTGACTATCTCAACTCAAAACTAATGTTGAGGTTGGATGGCCACTTTAAACGCCGCCCGAGGTCCGTCCCGATAGCAGACTCCACCCCGAGGTCCGTCCCGACAGCAGACTCCACCCCTAGGTCCGTTCCGACAGCAGACTCCACCCCGAGGTCCGTCCCGACAGCACACACCGCCCCGAGGTCCGTCCCGACAGCAGACACCGCCCCGAGGTCCGTCCCTACAGCAGACACCACCCCGAGGTCCGTCCCGACAGCAGACTCCACCCCGAGGTCCGTCCCGACAGCAGACTCCACCCCGAGGTCCGTCCCGACAGCAGACACCACCCCGAGGTCCGTCCCGACAGCAGACTCCACCCCGAGGTCCTCCCCTACAGCAGACACCACCCCGAGGTCCGTCCCGACAGCAGACACCACCCCGAGGTCCGCCCGATAGCAGACACCACCCCGAGGTCCGTCCCGACAGCAGACTCCACCCCGAGGTCCGTCCCGACAGCAGACACCGCCCCGAGGTCCGTCCCTACAGCAGACACCACCCCGAGGTCCGTCCCGATAGCAGACTCCACCCCGAGGTCCGTCCCTACAGCAGACACCACCCTGAGGTCCGTCCCGATAGCAGACTCCACCCCGAGGTCCGTCCCGACAGCAGACTCCACCCCGAGGTCCGTCCCGACAGCAGACACCACCCCGAGGTCCGTCCCGACAGCAGACTCCACCCCGAGGTCCTCCCCTACAGCAGACACCACCCCGAGGTCCGTCCCGACAGCAGACTCCACCCCGAGGTCCGTCCCGACAGCAGACTCCACCCCGAGGTCCGTCCCGACAGCAGACTCCGACCCGAGGTCCGCCCCGACAGCAGACTCCACCCCGAGGTCCGTCCCGACAGCAGACACCACCCCTAGGTCCGTCCCGACAGCAGACTCCACCCCGAGGTCCGTCCCGACAGCAGACACCACCCCGAGGTCCGTCCCGACTGCAGACACCGCCCCGAAGTCCGTCCCTACAGCAGACACCACCCCGAGGTCCGTCCCGACAGCAGACTCCACCCCGAGGTCCGCCCCTCCCCTGCCACCCGAGTCCCCCACCTCGGCGGTCACCTCACCTCGTCGAAGCCCTGCAGCCAGAGCCGGGGCGTGCGGTAGTAGTTGTCGTACGTGATGTTGAGGTTGTAGGTGCGGGTGCGCACAATCTCTTCGCCGGCCGGCTCCGTGGCGGCGGAGGGGGCACCGGAGGCGGCGCACGGGGCGGCGGGCGCCGGCAGCGTCCGGGCCAGAGCATCGTCCTGGGAAGGAGGCGCCGTCCGTCAGCCGCGCCACTCGCCGCCGGGGCCGGGACCTGAACGGGGCTCAGCCGCGCCACTCGCCGCCGGGCCCGAACGGGGCAACACAATCCAACTACAGCCGACATGTGAAAAAAATTACAGTCAGATTTTACCAATCATCAATATTTGAGGTTAAAAAACTTGTAATGGTATATACAAAAGGGCTGTTTGAGCTGATGATAAATGACAATCTACCCTCCATTAAGCCGTATGTGTGAACACCACGTAAGGATTTCGAGGCTACGGGCAAATCCCAGCTAAATTTCATGCAGAGAAATCCACTATCGCATCGAAGAATGAAGCACAAACGACTGCCATCACTTGTCAGGCATGAACTTCGAAAGTATCCAGCACCTAACAGCGGCCACCTCTGTTGGTATCAGGCACAGGACAGCTCGGGCAGCGGTTCACCAATGCCGTGGCCGGTGCCCCACCGCGCCGGACGGACTCACCGGGTCGTCCAGGCCGGCCTCCTCAAACTCCTCCATATCACACGCCTCGCCGTCGCCGTCGTCGTCGTCGCTGTCGGCGGCGGCCGGCGGCGGGGGCGGCGGGGGCGGGGGCGGCTCGGCGGGCGCCTCCATGGCCAGGGCGGCGCTCTCGCCGCCGGCGCCACTGGCCGTGCCGCCGCTGAAATGGTGCGTGTCCACCCAGCCCTCGCCGTCGCCGTCGTCTGGCTCGATAACGCGCTCCTGGGCCTCGTCATGGTCCAGCTGGGGAGGGGGGGGGGGGTGCAGGCAGCGGTTAGGGCTGGTAAAGGCATGGTCCGAGCAGTCTGCCGCCAGGACATTCACCGGTGGCCGCCCCTGCCCTCCCGTCCCTCACACCCACCTGTTTGCAGCGCCGGTGGCAGGGCACGTTACGGGTGATGAGAAACTGTTTGTCTGCGGGCAGGTAGGTTTTGGCGCGGCTCTTCTCGCCGGCGGCCCAGGCCCAGGTGGGACAACTGTGCACCAGCTGGTCGCCGCACTCGACAAACTCCTCCGGGGTGAGCATCCCCCGCTCCCGGAAACACGACTCCTGTACACACACAGACAAACAGGGGTGAGCATCCCCCACTCCCGGAAACACGACTCCTGTACACACAGACAAACAGGGGTGAGCATCCCCCACTCCTGGAAACACGAATCCTGTACACACACAGACAAACCGGGGTGAGCATCCCCCACTCCCGGAAACACGACTCCTGTACACACAGAGACAAACAGGGGTGAGCATCCCCCACTCCCGGAAACACGACTCCTGTACACACAGACAAACAGGGGTGAGCATCCCCCACTCCTGGAAACACGAATCCTGTACACACACAGACAAACCGGGGTGAGCATCCCCCACTCCCGGAAACACGACTCCTGTACACACAGACAAATAGGGATGAGCACCCCCACCCTCCAGAAACATGACTCCTGTACACACAGACAAATAGGGATGAGCACCCCCGCCCTCCAGAAACACGACTCCTGTACACACAGACAAACAGGGGTGAGCACCCCGCCCCCAGAAACACAACTCCTGCACACATAACAAGCAAAGTGTGGTTCATTAAAACAGGACAACAGACATCTATTTATTTACCAGATTTTCTTGCCAGAAATGTTCTTTATTCACGCGATTTTAAATGAATGTGAATACGTCCAGGACTTTGAAGAATTAAGCAAGCACCATTAGCTGAACAGTGTGCGCCAAATCAGTGATAAAGCACCTGTATCAGCCAACACCAAAACACAGCTAACAATCTGTACATGAAAGCATAACTTATTTTTTGCTTGTGCAATCTCTTACCGTCAGAAGGGGAGTGACCTGCTCTGCGAAGCCCAGGGCGGCCCCCCGGACGGTGTTCAGCACTGACTGCATTGTTAATTAATGTTATTCCTGATTTATCTGAAAAGTCAGAAAATCAGTTGAAAACCAGCTGGCCAGGGGGCTGTTTCACTGCCGCGCCGACAGCCACTGCCAGCGCATTTCATGAGCTGACGTCACACTTGTGGTAGCGTTGGAGCGATGGGCTTGTGGATGTATCCATGGAAACCCAATTTTACACGTGCACTGGCAGCGCGCTGGCAATGGCCATGAAACAGGGCCCAGGGGAAGTGTGAACTGGAAAGCATATGACAAAATGCCATGCAAAATGTCAGGAATGGCTATGATGGCTAACCTTGCTGGATGCTAAGTAGCATCCAGCAGGGTTGGCCATCATATCAGTACTGATATTCATTCATTATTGTCAAATTGGTGAAAATTGCCATTAATGATACAGACTCATCTTTGGATAAAAATCAGCCCATATGATCTCAGGACAGGAACAATGAATAGACTTTGACAATTGTTGAAACAGTCAGTACTCACCAGTCTCTAATATCTAAAAGGCATAATAACTGCTACAAAATGCTACAAAAATGACTGAAGGTTAGAAGCACTGATCATGTGCCACTGATTGCTACTATCATGGAACAAATAGCATCACAGATGATTACGATATGGTATTTTCAATTATAGTCTGAACTAACAAAAACTTACCAAACCTTACCCAGCCTAACCCAACATCACCTATCCTTACTTTGCATAGCTCTAACCTAGCATCGCTTATGAAACCTAACCTAAAAGAAACATAAAAGGTGGTACTATTTTTGTGCTGCACTATTATGCAGTGCCTGGCTGTGCTGAAACGCAAGCAATGCATGATGTACCAAGTTTGTCAGAGGTACAGGTGCCACTGCCAGTGTCTTATGATTTTGTGTAAAACATGGGAAAAGTACTCAGGTGTTGTTACACTTCCAGCCAATGATGGTGTATTCTTTCCTTTCATGAATTTATTTTGTGAATTCCAGCAGCTCTAGTGCAAGATAGAGGCTGGCATAACTGTCAAATCTACCCAAAACTTCTCTTGACTGCACTAGCCACTATGTGGTTTGTGCTTAACTGCATTGCGACTGTTTCCAGCAGAAGAATCTCATCTCAATATGGTCAGAATCATTTTTTGGAAAAGTATGCCCCTACCCAAGGACACAATCAGATCTCTATTGTAAATAGCATCTGTCTCCTAACTTGGCAGCAGAGAATCTTTGGTATATGTATAGATGAAGTATGGTCAGTTTGGTAGGTTGTAGGGTGTAGGTTTTAGACTAGGTTTTAGGTTGGTGGGCTGTAGGTTGGTTGTGAGTTTGTAGGTTATAGGCTGGAAGGTTCAATGTTGTAGTTCAGTAAGTAAGGTTAGGTCAGATTAAATTATGTTTTTATCTTCACCACACTTCATCTAGACATTTACCAAATTTTCAGTCCAGAAGCCCTATGCTCCCTGGTCTGCTTTCCCAAACTTTGTTCCCAAACTATGTTGATTTAGGTGGGAAACGACATCCAAGTGGAAAAAATTATCCACTCTCACCCCCACTTTTTAAAACTTTTTTTCACTTGTGGCTTTACTGAAACAAAGCATGTGCACGGATGGTCTTTTTCATCCAACAATCTACCACATTTGTATATAAGCTCATGCTTTTGATCATTTTTTCCACCTTCAATGGGCCCTACCTAACCCGCAATTTTCACTCCCATCTCCTTTTCGGTAAATAATTTTTCCCTCTGAAGTCTGACACCCAAGCAAAAATACATCTTGGGACACTGCTGCTTTCCTACATAATACATAAAGCAAGCTGGCAACAGGCAAGAAAGCCACATTACAATTAGTCCATGGAGAAGCATGCTGCTATCTATCTGCACTGCATTTATATATCTACTAAAATTACCACCGGTGAACCGGGCGCTGGCAATGTGGGGCGGCCAGCACTCAGCAGTGGGTTTATACTTTATTCATTGTTGTCATTCACAACTTAAGCACTGCTTCACCTTAGCAACTAATTAGGCATGTCACATGAATTACCCACAATCATCAATGCATCAATTCAGGCTACAGTTTTTATCTTTTAGAAACATAAATTCATAGAAAACAAGATTATCAGCATAAACCTTACATTGAGAGGCAAAACATGTTGAAAATGGTCCCAGCTCATGGTGAAACATTCTCTTACCTCATTCTCTTACCTCATTGGGTTCCATCAAGTCTGTAAGTAGGCACGGAAGGATAGGCTAGAGGATAGACAGAACCCTACACATATAAGACGCGCCAGCCAAAAATTAAGCCAGTCATATGGTAATGTCATGCAAGACTTGACTGGAATCATGCGCCTAACAGGTTACACAGTGCTAACAAGTTTTGCTAGAATCAATAAGAATTTCCGATAAGTATATATAAGATAATACAGTGTACACCTATTTCCATGTTCATAGAGTTCATTCTGTGATAGTCTACTGCACGTTTGAGCGCTGTGAGATAATACACGGATAATACAGTGCATACCTATTCTATGAACTTATAGAGTTCATTTTGCAAATGAGTGTTTATTGCACGCTTGAACGCTCTGAGATTGGGTGCGCAAACGGCATCTGGTGGTAAAGAGTTCCATAGCGGAATACATCGGACAGAGAAAAATCGCTTCCGGGTATCAGTGACGGTGGAGGGAATATGTATCTTATGACGATGGCCCCTGGTTCTAGAGCATGGAGGTGTGTGAAATAAGTCATTGGGGTGGATGCAGGACTGAGCATTAAATATTTTCCAATACAGGATCAGGTCAGCCCGCAGAAGCCTACCATACACTGAATATAGTTCCAACTTTTTTAGGCGTGTTCCATAGTCAAGGCCCGCCATGCCGTCAATATGTTTTGTCCACCTTCGTTGGACTCCTTCAAGCGCACGAAGATCTTGCACATACCCAGTGTTCCACAAGCATGACGCATATTCAAGAATCGGTCGGATATGAGACAAAAATAGAAAAAGCATAAAGTTAGCGGATCGACAAACTGTGGATTTTAAAAGACTTTCAGCCAGCCCCCCTGCCTTATGGACGGTAGCCTGTATATGATCGTGAAATTTAAGCTTGACATCGACAAGAACACCCAAGTCCTTTGCCTTTACTTCTACTGGTATCCGTTTTCCATCTAGAAAGTATGAGGGTTGGTCCAGTCCTGCAGAAGATCTAGCAAAACGGAGTGCTACACACTTATCTGCATTAAAGTTAAGACCCCAAGACAAGGCTGTTGCATGAAGAATGTTAATGTCTTCCTGTACGTCTTGGCATGCAAGAACATTTACATCTGATCGACCATTGGAGTCTGTACAAGAATAGATTTTTAAATCGTCGGCAAACAGTTTGTAGTTGCTCTTTAGCTGGGATGCAATGCTGTTAATATAAATAAGAAAAAGGATGGGTCCAAGAACAGATCCCTGTGGGACACCACTCAGCACTGCTTTAGGCTGACTTGATTGGCCCTTGATACACACTCTCATAACTCGAACAGCCAACAAACAGCCTATTGAATTTCAGGAATAAACATCAATAATTGGGACAGAAACGAGATAAAAAATGTTTTATTATTTGCAATTTAAAGTGACCATCCCACCTTAAAGGGACCCTCCCACCTTAAAAAAGTTAATGAATTGGCATAAAAGTGATGTACCGTGAATCAGAAAGAGCGAAAATGAACATCTACCAAATTTCACCGAAAAATATTCAAGGGACCCTCCCACCTTAACATTAGTTTTGAGTTGAGATAGCCAAATTGGTGGCCATGGCCTGCAAATCAGTTGGGCAAACTACGGGGAGGTAATCAAGAACTTGATTAATCAAGTTCATGATTATTTTATGCCCATATTTGGTCATGTCTGCAGCCCGTCACGAAAACGGCTGAATCTCGATTCAGGGTCTACGGAGATGCACGAAAATTGTAAGACCGATAGAGAAGAAGTCACTCTACAAGTGTAATGTTTGAATGATTCAAGTTGAAAATCGTGAGGCGGTAGATTGCAACCAAAACGTAATCAACAACTTGATTACGAGGCGTCGTCCCGGGAGTCCGATGATCAACTTCTTGATTATGCAGCCAGCTGGCTAATCATGATCTTGATTTCGCATTCAGCTGGCTAATCACGATTTTGATCGCGCTGATCGTGCTACTGGCGAGCGTTGAACAATGCAACTAATTAAAAGATACAATGATAATCGTGTATATTATTGACAAAATCAATCAGTTTTGGTGGGATGGAATTTATGTTGCAGTTAATGTTTCTCATGAATGACTTGACCGAGCCTGTTCAAATTTTTGTGTGGCTAGAAGCCTATTAGCTATAAGTTTTGGACAAATCGGGGATAGGATATGTTTGCACACGCGCACATCATTTCTGTATCTCCGGAACGGCGTCACCGATTGTTTTTCAGTTTTGGTGGGTGGCTAGAGACTTAATAGCTGTAAGCTTTAGACAAGTTAGGGAATAGGGATGTGGCACACACATGTGGACTTGTGCACGAGCACACCTCTTCTCGCGCTTGCTCGCTCACATTGCCGAACACGGATCTGAAAAAGACCACCCCGAGCAAGAACACCGCTGTCCGCGATAAGCGGCCTGACCATAAGTCAGCTCAAATGATAATCTGCATACGACCACATATATTGGACGAATAGCGTTACAACCCTAAGCCCGTGTAACCAAGCACAGATCAAAGATATATTTCAAGAAATGTGTATTGAAATGTGTATTTATAGTCCGCGCCGATGGAAGGCTCAAAGAATTGGCAAAAGCTTCCGACACCCCGCCGCGGCATGCTCTACGGGGATCTCACTCCACTTGCTTCACGGTCGCGATGGCCGCCGCTGATGGCGGCACATCGGCCTTCACTCCACCAAACACTTTGGTTCTCAGAAACCAATTCAGATTGACCATGTTTTTAGGAGTTTTGATGTTAAAAATCCAAAAGGCGGCCTGCCACAGCAGGAATGCTTGGTCTGGTGGCGCCGATACCACCTCCTGGGCCTCGACGAATACCGCGTCTTCCCCGCCCAGCTCTCCATTCACGATTATGGGATGGAAAGTTTTGCGGGCCTCCGTTGGCTTCCGTCGTCTCTTGGAGAATGCGCTGCAGGTTCTCCCAGCTGGTCCCCTGCAAAATGTTCATAACCAAATTATAGGTACACTTAACATTGCGTGGGAGAAAATGGAGGAGAAAGAATAGGAGAGAAGGAGGGAAAGAGTAAAGGAGGGAGAGAGAGAGGAGAGAGAGAGGAGAGGAGAGGAGAGGAGGGGAGGGGAGGGAGGAGGGGAGGGGAGGGGGGAGGGGAAGGGGGAGGGGAGGGGAGGGGAAGGAGGGAGTGAGGAAGGAAGCAAGGAAAGATGGAAGGAAGAAATGATGGAGGAGAGGTAGACAGATGTAACAAGACAAACAAGACAAGACATGGACCTGATGTGTTGGCGCAGGGCACTGATGCTACATTTCGGCACATGATGTGAAAATAATGTATAATGCCTCAGACTCAGCAGTCTGGAAAATGTAGGTACAAATTACACATGTATCAGTAAAGAAGTTTCTGCATTTAGATTAGAATGAATTGTTTTGAAAACATTAGAATAGACAATGCCTGTATCTTGAAAAAGGATTAGATTGGCCTGTGTCAGGACAAAACTGGGGATGAGTCATGTGAGCTCGCAAAGTTGTGCCAGGCAACTTCATGAGATCACACTGAAGGAGCTCCAGCGAATTATTTTCAGCATGCCCAGCTCGAGTGTGCAACATGTACACTGGACTGGATCATTGTAGTGTCTGAACGTGACGCACCAAACTCAACGTGACACACCAAACTGAATGTGACGCACCAGCGACAAAACAAAACACTACAACCATCTATTGCAAAAGCAATTTATACATACCTGCAGCTGTGTGTCCCTGCATCCTGGCCTGCTGTCTTGCATGAGCGCTGCACATAATACAAATGTAGCTGCAGTTAGTCCGCTTAATTCCAAAGAAGTTAATCATATCATTTTTTGATTGAAAATTCCTCAAGGTAGGACCGTAGGTACCATTATCACAAGCTTCCTGAACAATACTGTGGTGACGCCCACCGCTACAGCGAGGAGGTGGTGCTTTGATGAGCTGTGGAAAAACAGACACATTTGCAGTCACCACTTCTATTATTGTTCTATGAATCCATGACAAAGCCACTTAGAATGCAAGTATGAATAACCTAGCATAAGCCGAAGTTTAACTTTTTATTGAAAACTAAAAGATATATCCTATTGGTACCTGCTTGCACAGATAATTGACAAGAATAAATAATATGGCCACACTACAAACTTTTGCACAACCTGCCAGGCCACAACATTTCTAGCTACTGTGGGCAGTTCAATGTGCCTCCCTAATCAACAATTGCCCCAAACAACAAACTATGCCTATTATTTACTTTAAGATAAACTATAACCTTGTAAATAGCAATACATTTTGTAAATAATTAAAATATTATACCGCGGAAAGCATGCGCCATGATAGCCTACAAAATCATCATAAATTCTATCGCGATATTTCAACATTTATACCGACGCACATGAACGTTGAGGCTATTCAAATATACAAACATGATCTAAATTATTTAAAAAAATGCTAATTTTACCTATAAGAACCAAATTACCAATAATTCGGCGCTAATTTCCAGCCTCACCCACACACCGACAACACGGCAAATGGCGGCGTGCAAACAGGCGTCGGCGCCTTTTGGAAGAAATGTTTATTACGACCAATTTAAGACGTGTGTAAAATGAATGTTCAATTATTTATTTTTAAATTGGAAACGTAAAAATGTGGATAAAAGAATAATATCCGCCTAAAA